CCAGTAATAGTTTAGGGGCCGTTCTATTTGTGTTTCAATTATGTATTTTGAGTTTTGAGTATCTGTTTGAAATTTCTGAAAATGCGTTCTTTTCGTCATTCTGAAAAATTGTTTCTCAAAATATAAAAATGGAAAATGCGTTTACTTTGAAATTTTGAGAATTTTTTTTTATAATATTTTATTCATGAAATCTGATTATTCAATAAATTTTAATAGTTTAATGTTAATATAGTATTAAATAACATAAAAATTTTGAAGTTGGTAAATCTAGAAATATTTTTTTTTCCAAATATAAAAAACACAACCTAAATTAAATTTGGCAGTCCTTATTTTTTGTCCTTGTACGTAACTTGTGACAAAAATTAACTAGCATCAAGCCACAACCAAATATAATCAAGTTGCAAAAAAGGGGAGCACTAATCTTATGTTGACATGGTAATAAATATTTTAAAATTAATCTTATCGAGTTCATATTAATTCTCACAATTCTTGCCAAATACAATTTTAATCGTCTAAACACGATAACTATCTTCAGTAATATTATTATTTATTGAAAGTCTCTCTTTCAAAATATCACAAAAGTTCATGAAAACGTGCTTCTGCATACGAAAATTACGATACCATACGTCCGGATGTCCATTTAGAATTTCTAACATGTACATTTTTCTCGTAAGCAATGATGTCTTACAAGGTATCCTGCCAATGGTACTTCATTTGTGAAGAACAATCATATTAAACATCATTAAATCGTCAAAGTTTGCGTCAAACTCATCAATCAATAACAAATCATCATCACTCGAATCCTCATCAGTGGTGGAAAGACCTAGATTGAAAGTCAAAAAATTCAATCTTCCACTCTCTAAAAAGCCAACTAAATCAAGGAAAGCCTGGGATTGAAACTCTTGAAAATTTTATCATTTTCCAACTGAAATGCCCTTTTCTGATCAAAATCAGAAAATTGCCCCTGAATATGAGGCTCTATTTTAATGTTAACAAAAATGTTTATGACATTTTAATACAAAAAAAAAAAATAAAACTCATTAAATTGATAAAATCACTCAAAAGCATATGATTTCTAGATATTTAACAAGACATGCACTGCAACCATTGCTTTAACCAAATTAAACAAGAGATACATGAGGCACCACATTAATTATATGGAACTTTTAATCCTAAATAAATAGGATACAAAAACTCCACAACATTTTATTAAAAATTAATCCAATTAATTAATTCGGTCCGATTAATAAACAACCCAATTAATTAATTATCCAACATTTGTTAATTAATTAATTGGTGAATCTCATTCTTCTAATTTTCCTTTTGTGTATAGTCCATTTGATTTCCGATCACAATGCCAAAGATGTGAATTATTATTTTGATCTAATCAAAATCGATAAATTAAAATACTTCCTTTTAACTTATCGTCAATTCGCATCCGTCGTCCCAAATTGACATTTAGCAACGTGTCGGGGCAATATATGTGACGAAAAATGTCACGTGGTATGACAAAATCAAACTTATTCATTTACTGTGAAACTTTAATCCTTTTGTTAATACAATTACATAACTATGATCCCTCCAATTTATGTTGGTCAACAAGCAGGGACGTCACGTTCAGCAGATTAAAAATTCAACCTTTGTAGTTCAGAATCAAGTTTCATCAAATGATGATATGGAACACATACACGGTATTTCAGCATTTTCAAGTTAGCATAATCAAATCCAAATACCAGTAACAGTTTAATACCTCCGTTTCCATTTCACAAAATTTACCTAAGTAAACTTATTCATCTGAGCAATCCATTGTTCAATCTTCAATACAATAAACAATGAAACATAAAAAAAAAAAAAGAAAATATTAATTTCACTTTTTCCTTAAAAAAAAACTCTATAAAAATGGCAAGGATACTATACCAAATACATCCAAAATCTGTGATAGACAGTTGGAGAGGAGACGATCGAGAGAGTGGAAACGGAGGATACGGAGACGAAGATTTGAATTTGGTGAGGTTTCTCAAAGAGGAAATCGCCATTGTTGAGGAGTGGGGAGGGTTTCTATCGGGTTACGTTACTGATTTAGGTTTGGGGTTTTAGTTAGTAATTTATGACGTATTAATGACTTGTTTAAAAGATTTAATTAGATTAAAATGATATCATTTTAATCAAATTAGTTATTTTCATAGTATACTGGGCCTAATTTTTCCTTATTATTTTTCCAAATCCGATGATTGCCCTCATTAGGCTTTAGGTGGCTTCACCCTATTTTTATCAACATTATTTATAGGGAACAATACATAAATAAGGTATTTAGGTATCACCATTTCAAAATTAAGATTTGAAGTTTTAAATTTCAAAAATCAGGTTTTCATTAAAATTTATTTATAATTTAATTAATAAATATATAAAGGTCACAGATCTATGCAATTT